AAGAGCAGACGTGCTATCAGCTGTGAATATAGCATCACAAAGATGTAAAGAGATAGTCCAATCGGTAATGAAACAGGAATAAAAAAGAACTGGAATTCCAAAATGGCCGTTTTGAATTGTTCATAATAGGATCTAAAATGATTAATATTAGCAATACATGTAGTTTTATATAGATCGAAAAACCCTAATACACCCCTATTAGGGTTTTTCGGTCACGAAAAAGCGTTACGGTAACACTGGGCACGTGCCCAGGGGCCCGCGATGAATTGCGGTCCCTAGTCTAGTCCGGTCCCTACTCCGTTACCAAACGATAACCGACAGCTACTATACTCTTTCCATTTGGCAATTTGTTCGTTTTTGTTAATTTTTTTATAAATGTCTAGCAAGAACTTAAATCCATCACATAACGACTTTTTGAAATTATTTTTGTCTGGTTTGTTTTGAAGGTAGTACATCCCTAAAGAAACGGGTTCAAAAATGATTTTGTCTATTTTAACACAGTAGTGCTTTATTACTATAGTCATAGGCCCCATTATCCTAACGTGCCCAGACCCCTAATAGGTGAAAGACGGCCCTGTGTACATAATATATCGCGTTATCCGTTGAAGTTTCACTTCTTTGTGTCCCAGCACATATTACTTTTTATAGAATCCGTAAAGTGGGCGTGTTTATATGAATTGCTGATCTCTCTATGACAATTGTTGAAAGAATCTCATTGGTTTATTAAAATGGCTCATTTTGCGGATCGCCTTCTTGATAAATTTGAAGACTGCACTGAAATCGGTTAAGCTGTTTCGTACATTAGCGTGCAGAATCTATTATATAAAATTGTCGTGTTACAGTGCTTATAACATATTCACACACGGCTTGGCCTATTCTTATGAAATTTTGTGCGTAGATTCAGTTAAGATTAGGATGTTAATTATTTTTCAGACTCCTAAGTGACAAGGGTGGTCCACACCAAAAATTTTACTTATATTAGTGGACAAATTTTTTTTTTTAATACGTACAATCCTATATAAACCATTCTACCAGATACGTACATAAATACTATAAATTGTATTGCATATATCAATCACTTAACAATCCTATAATGAACCGTCTGATTAAGTCTTATAAGAGGGCTTTAAAATAGTCACTTATTATGATTCATTTCATATAACCAACAGAAATATATCCTTTGGACTAACGGCATAAAATTAAATTTATTTCCAATTAAAAGATTAAAAATCTTCTACATATTGAACATACATAAAAACACATAGCATGAACACCCTTTTTTGAAGTAGGTTAAAATGTAGGGACTATTAACTGTTTGTCTATGTGAAGTGAATCATTTTACGAATCGGGTATGGTCAAGATAATATGTAGGATATTTCCTTCACATTATTATCTCGTGAGTACACGTAAAGGTTACTCATAAAAAAACAGATGTATAATAGTGAGTTGAGTATCAAATAGTTAATATGAACTTGTAAGGGGCTATCCATAACTTATGTTACAGCGATTTCAGTCATTTTTATCCCCTCCCCTTCCTCGACTCAGCCATAAGTCCCTCCCCCCACTCAGCCAGTAGTCCCCTTTCCCCCCACACAGCAAGGAGTCCCATTTCCCCTCTGACGTTTGAATTCCTAAAAAATCGTGTTTTAATATTTAAATTGAAATACGTTGTCACAAAATCTAAGGCTAGAAGGCTGAGAGAGGGGTCCTAGATTACAATGTCACACTTTACTTAATATATGACATCGAAGACTCAAATGGGTGATGACAATGTCACATTTTTTAACTTGTGACATAATTACGGATGGCCCCTGATTGTATTACATATTTAACATGGGTTTTTTTCAATATGGCACTTTTTATTGAATCAAAGAGTAATGATGGTTGTGTATTTAGGTGAATCAATTGAATTATGAACTAGTCTTTGGGAGTTTGATGCTATGGATTTTAGTACTGGTACTGTTGGATTAATGACTAAATATGAGGTCATAATAGTCTAGGATTGCATATTTATATATATTCATACATATAAACCTTCCTCTTGAATTACTAGCTATGATCGTTTCATTCGCGTGAAATTTATAGCCTATTTGTAATTCTGATGTATAAGCTATGTTATTATAATGTTTCGTTAAAATACATTCAGTAGTTTTTGCGTAAAAGAGTAACAAACATTCGTCCATCCACTCGCAAACTTCCGCGTTTATAATATTAGTAAGATACATTAGAATAACATAGGCTGTAAATATAAGAAACCGCGGACACAGCTAGTAAAAAACATGATAATTAGTGTTTTAAATAAACACACTAAACATGTTTGTAATGAAAAAAATTATTTATCTGTATTCATTTTAGATTTCGTACAAAATTTCGCGGCCTATCGCTAACAAGTCCTTACCATATCAGTACCGAAGTCTGTACCCATCAATGGCAAAATTGCAGTGTTTATTGTAAATCCTAGTTAAGTGAGGTTCGTCAGTGTAGATTTGTCAACATAAAAATATATACTAGTAATTTTATTGCTTGGGAATATATATTTTTATTTCTACTAATCAATTTGGAGTTGTATTGTTATGACCTTAAAGTTCATGCTTGCTCGTTTGTTCATATAAAAAATATACAGTTTTTTTTTTATTGTATATTTGTCTAATGGAATGGTGCACCCTTCTGCGCTTACGGTATACACTGGCCGGTCACGAGTGGAGGTGATAAGGCGAACATGAGGTCATATCAGCTCATCGTGACAAATTCACTAGGAATTTATCATGATTTCCAGGGGGGAAGCTCGTTGACCTGATTGACATGGTACATTGCTAGCAAGAAGTCATGTGGACTAACCACATTACTAACAATCCATTTCCGCCTTTCGTTTGATATTACTTTGAAAGATCTAGAAATCATTGCATGCCTGTATGTTTAAAGATAACAACATCACGCCTTGATGCATGAACTTTACAGGTCATAAAATACAGAATAAGAATTAAATTTATTTCGTAAAACTTACGTAACATTTTATCTATGACTACATACTAGGCTATGCTCAAATACCAATAATAAATACAATTATACTATTTGTTAAGGTTTTGGACTCCTGTTTAACAGACTATATATTTTTTTTATTTTTGAAAATAATAGACAAATCTATACTGTGTGGAGAGTTCCTTAACTATCAAAATGACATTGACGCCTCATCTGTGAGATCAATTACAGGACTTCTCAGTGTCCGAGTCCAAAAATTGGCTTGCAGATGCGAGGTTAAGCAATATCACTGCAAACCCAATGGGAGTTAGAACAATTTTTGTTATGTGAATCTATTTTTCAATGATAAAATGAATAAAATTTTGTGCAATCAAGTGTAATCGCACGTATCGAGTCCAGTATTACACTCTTTTCCAAAATAACGCACGTCCATAAACGTTCCTTATAATGACGATTGTATCTCACAATATTACAATATACAGAAAAGTTTGGACGGCAATTTTTGGTAATTATAACAAGTAATGCTATATGATTGTAGTTTGATTTTCACCTTAACAAATAACAGCCCAACCATCAACAACAAATGACATCAAACAACAACCCAGGTCAATTTACACAGCGCCATCTAGTCACAAGTTAAACAGAGCTTGCGATAATGGGTACTAGCACCCTTCAACAAATAACAACCCAACCATCAACAACAACCCAGGTCAATTTACCCAGCGCCATCTAGTCACAGGTTAAGCAGAGCTTGTGTATTAACACAGGCTACTAGAGATCTAATATACACAGAGAATAAAATTAAGGCGCATTCGCATATATAGCACATAGTAGCTAGCAAATACTAAATTATTTTTTTAAATACACATATAATAGGCTTATTTTGCAAAACAGCGGAGTAAGATTTGCTTTTCTGTTCTGTACTAAGCATGGTAATTGGCAGCCATATTATAGTTTTTTTTTTTCATAAATCTTCTATACAGATTCAGTCTTTATGATACAGAATTAGTATCTCAGCAGTAATAAAACAATTCATATATCTAACTAATATAAACGCGAGAGTTTGTGAGTATGGCTGGATGTTTGTTGCCGTTTCACGCAAAAACGACTTAGTGGATTGAAAATTGAAAAAATAGCTTATATATCAGAATAAGGGGCTTTAAAAGTCACGCGAGTGAAACCGCGGGCACAGCTAGTTAAAGATATAATAAGATTGTTATTGGAATATATATAGATCATTTAATTATAGGATAACATTACTTAAATTGGATAAGATTACTAAAAATACAGTTATCTAATCATTATATATCTATATCTATGCTTATTTATTAATATATCTATAATATTGGATAATATTACTGATTACCTATAGGTATATAGTATATATATATTTATATACTAGCTGTGCCCGCGACTTCGTTCGCAGTGGTTACCAAATACACTTCATATACCTATATTTTTTAGGTACGGGTGCCAGCGATTTCATCCGCGTTAAATCTTATATATAAAATTCTCGTGTCAGTTTTCGTTCCCACACTCCTCCGAAACGGCTTGACCGATTCTCATCAAATTTTGTGAGCGTATTGAGTAGGTCTGAGAATCGGCCAACATCTATTTTTCATCCACCAAAAATTTTTTTTTATTGTAAGTCTAAACAACGTTTGCCGGGACAGCTAGTTTCAATATAAAATATAGCCTATTTGATATTCTAATGCATAAGTAGTTTCATCAAAATCCGTTCAGTAGTTTTGCGTGAAAGAGTTACAAACATCCATACTCACAAACTTTCGTTTATAATATTATAATATGTAATTGAATGTATATTACATTATTAATTAATTTCATTACATAGTATAAAATAAAGTCGCTGTCGCTGTCTGTCCTTATGTATGCTTAAATCTTTAAAACTACGTAACGGATTTTGAAGCGGTTTTTTTAATAGACACTGATTCAAGAGGAAGGTTTATGTATATAATACATGTATATGTATTTTTTTTTGTATATGATAATGACATGGTCCACCCGCCTGCGCTAACGGTCTACGCTGGCGGGGCACCAGTGGAGGATGATAAGATGTGCATGAGGTCAGGTCAGTTGGCCCATCGTGACAAATTCACCAGGAATTTAACACGATGGCTTCCAGGGGGAACCGCGTGGAGGTCGACCTGACATGGTACATTGCTAGCGATGGGGTTATCAATCCACGTTACTAACAATACCCTTACCCCCCATGTATATGTATTATATATATAAAGCCGGGGCGAGTAGCTAGTTCTTATATATTATATTTTATATACGGTAGGAAAAAAATTTACGTTCATAAACGGCTAAAATGTCCTACATGAATAAAAGTTTTTTTAATTTGAACAGATCGCTCGACCACAAGGAAATTGGTTAAATGGATTATCAAATCAAATCTGAATTCACATCATTCTTATATATATTTTATTTCAGTCTTGGGTTACATCAGTTGAGTTTCAAACACTCTAATACATTTGGCATTGTATCACTCTTATATTTGCACAGCATGTTCAGTAAATGTAGTTTCTTCTCGTGGGTTTTCGACGACTCCAGTTCGTATAAAGTGCAGAGATTGATTAGTAGACTCTCGTTAAGGCCGCGTTCTGGGTCCGAATTTATAGCTTTCTGGAGTACCGCGATCGCTTCCTTGAGCCGCCCCATGTATAATAAACATATAGATATATTGTTGGCCACCTGAAAGTATATAATAAAAATTATAACCATAGGAAATACACACCGCCGTCTAGTACGAAGATAAACAGCGTTACATTCAACAGCAACCGTTCGCCATTGTGATCCATTAATGCAGTAAATATATTTTTTAAGTTTGTTATTGTACATTTTTGTTAGTTTGTAATCTTGTTAAGTTATTACCAATTTTTATGTTTACTGTGTTTGTAATAGCTTAGAACTTAACGTGCTATCGTCGTCGTCAATCTCTTATTGTATTCATTTACTGATAAAGGCTATAACAGAATAGCAGCGAGGGTGGACTCACGGCCCTCACTGAGTTATAGACCGTTTTGTCTACTTCATTACTTTTCAATTTTATTATTGTATGGGCAACAATTGTATTAGTTTTTGTTTGAGACAAATAAAGATGATTATTATTCTTTTATATATGTTTTATATATCTCCATTTTTACGGGGGTAATATTTATTATTATTATTATTTCAGTGCATACAACGCCATCTAGTTTCTAACTGAGATAACAACCACAATATATTTTTTATTTAAATAATTATTTGTACGTAGCTTGTAGTAAACATATAAATAGAAAATATCGTCGGTTAATTAGAAAAATGGCACAATTCAAAATGTACATTTTTAAAAACAATTTAAATTAAAATTTTTAAATTTATTTAAATTATTATTTTTTTGTTTAAACAAAAATTTAGACAGAAGTATTATAAATCATTTTAAAACTATTTAGATAATGTTATGACATAGACATCCGCAAACAAAAGAATTTTGATTAATTCTACCCCCAAGGGGATGAAAGTTTGTATGAATCTTTGTCAATTTTAAACCGATCGGGCTGAGACTTTGCATGCATAAATCTACTATAACGTAGGCATCCCCTATGAAAGGATTTTGATAAATTCCACCCCTAAGGGGATAAATTAACCCGACCGAAGCCGCGAGCAAAAGTTAGTACAATATATAGTTTCTTTCTTTGTTTGTAACATTTGTTTTATCGTACAGTACATTAAAAATAACTAAGGATACAACAATCTTAAAAAATAAGTTGTACTATGGTGGATTTATCCCAAATGAGGTATTTCTTCCAGTCAACCTTTGAAAGACTTGAAGGAATAGTGGAGAGGTGGTAAGTATATACATATAGAATATAATATAGAAGTTGTGGTACCGCCCAGTCACACTTACCATGATATTAGTGGGTTCCTGATCTGCAGCTCTGGCGAAATTGGTGTAAGCATCTTGGTACTTGCCGTAGGCGATGTCGATCAAACCCAGGTCTACATACTCCCGCACATCAGGAGTTGGGCATCTGAAAAAAAACACCGTCATGAGTGTACCAGATTATTTTTGCGCATTCGGTCGCATTTTTTAGATCTTCCTTTGTGTAGGACGATGGGCACAAAGCTGTCCTTTGTGCTCATCATACAACTTGATTCGATATAAATCTTACTTCTATAATAAACTCGAAAGTTTCTTAGTATGAATGGATGTTTATTACTCTTTCAGGCAAAAGATACTGAACGAATTTTGATGAAATTTTACAATAATATAGCTTATACACCAGAATAACATCATCATCATCAGCCCACTGCTGGACATAGGCCTGAATAACATATAGGTTATAAATTTCTCGCGGATTAAACCGCGGGCACAGCTAGTATAATAATAAAATATAACATGTTAGGACAATTCATACAGCTACATCTAGTCCCACGCTCAACAAAGCATGTATTATTCGACAACTGATATAAATACATACGATACATTTTTTAAATAACCGCTATAATTTTTTATTGTAATTTAAGCGGGTAAAGACACTAACAAATGATGCCTGATCTCCCTCGACTGTCCCTGATACACTAGCGCCGCGTCCACATGCCCAGCCAAGAGCCACAGTCTACACAAGGCACTGGTGACCGCCCGTTTCTGTACCGACGACGTGGCCTGCTGCTGCAAGGATATTAGTACTTTAGCAGCTTGACGGTAGTCCTGAAAGAAGAAACAAGGATAATGTCAAACGAAACTAACAGACAACTAGAACATGGTCTTATGGTGTTAAGTCCGTTATATGCACCTTTATTTTTGTATTTTTGCATCAAAGTTTTAATAAATAAATCATTACATAGTGTAAAACAAAGTCGCTGTCGCTGTCGCTGTCTGTCCCTATGTATGCTTAAATCTTTAAAAATACGCAACGGATTTTGAAGCGGTTTTTATTAATAGATAGAGTGATTCAAGAGGAAGGTTTATATATAATACATGTACAGCCGTGCGACGCTGGGCTGAGTAGCTAGTTAATTAATAAATAACACAAGAATAGAATAGAAAATACTTTTATTCAAATAAACTCTAATTTAAGCACTGTCATAATTTTTCTTTTAATCTACCGCTCATTCCGCAAGCTGTCTCATCACAAGAATGAGCAAGAAACTTGTGTGTTGCTCTTTTTAAAGTAATTGTTCTACATTACATTTTTAAGTTAAAATGTGTTAATAAAAACTACCAACTAGCACTAATTTATTACAGTCAAAATATTAAGTACACAATCAACTGATTAAATAATAATATAAGATTAAATCAGTCGTAGTGAATAGAGCAAACCAGTCTACAAGCAGCACTCGTTCACCATGAATGTGGTTTCACACAGCGCCATCTAGTCCCAAGCAGAGCTTGTGTTATGGTTACTAGATTGTTTGTATCGGTCTGGGTGTTTTCTATGTATTTATAAAAGAAACTATCTTTGGACCGCGGCTTCGCTCACGTTAATTTATTCCCTTAGGGGTGGAATTTATCAAAATCCTTTCTTAGGGAATGCCTACGTTATAGTAGATTTATGCATGCAAAGTCTCAGTCCGATCGGTTTAAAATTGACAATCTTTCATACAAACTTTCAACCCCTATTTTATCCCCTTGGGGGTTGAATTAATCAAAATCCTTTCTTAGCGGATGCCTACATCATAACATCTACCTGCATGCCAAATTTCAGCCCGATCCGTCCAGTGGTTTATATCAGTTGTTTAGTACCCATAACACAAGTTCTGCTTACAGTGGGACTACATGGCGCTGTGTTAATTGTCCAGGGTTATTTATTTATTTATTTATTTAAATACTAAAAAATGTTGACTCACTTTAAGCATGATACAGCAGTTGACTATGGAATGCAGGATCCTGGTCTCCCGGCCGGTCCACAATCGTAAGGATTCATTGCGGTCCTGATCTGACGATATGAAGGCTGTGCCGTCCTCTGTTTTCCCATTACGTAGGTTTGATAACATCTGTGAACATGATATTGTATTTAAAAACTAGCTGTACTCGCGACTTCGTCCGCGTGGATATTAACAAAAAAGTTAATTAGAGAATTTTTCTAAAATAAAAGTAGTAAGTTACTCCTTATTATCGCTATCTACCAAAAAAAGTTCCGTTAAAATCGGTCCAGTCATTTCAGAGATTAGCCGGAACAAATAGATAGACAAAAATTGTAAAAAATGTTATTTTGGTGTATGCACCGTATTTATATTCATATACATGTAGTAAAAAACGGTTATTTCAATATTACAAACGGACACATCAATTTTATTTATATGTATAGATGTGCTATTCAGATGTGGCTGTATTACTGTAAATTTTCATCAAAATCAGACAATTGATATACATGGAAACATTTTCTTAAATGCATACATAATATACATAGAAAACACCCAGACCGATAAAAACAATGATACTAATGAATACCATTGTTTGTTTCGCGCGAGGAATCAAACCTGCGACCATCGGAAAGGAAGGCGGTATCCTAAACCACTACACCACCGAGACCGTCATTAGTATAGATAACTTGCTGCCTCCGCATACGTAGTTTTGCCATATAAATTAAAATCGTTATTAAAAATAGGGATTGATGGTAGAAGGGTGAAGATTTGGGGTTGTATGTATTTTTTAATGCCTAAATGTATAAAAAAAATAAAATAAAGATAATGTATAAAAAGAAATTGTACAAAAAATAAAAATTCAATGGTAGAGCTATATAACCTTTATCATTTAGGGGTATGAAAATGCATATAAAATTTCATAAAAATCGGTTTCGGAGGAGTATTGTATCTAATCTATAATTGTATATATAATTGAATAAATATATATATATTAATATAATAAATAAATTGTATCTTTTTTTTCGTACTACTCTATGCTGTTGGCCGCAGCTGGCCTTTACAGCTTCACCGGACCTTAGCGGGCGAGCGCAGATGGCACTCCAAACCCGCGGAAGGACTTATGGAGCGGCTGAAGGCCATACGGACGGATACGACTTTAGTCTGAAGGCAGCACTAGGAGTTCGAACCTCGGCTCGGGCCGTCGTAATATCGATTCCCATTTGAATTGGACGGGAGATCGATCGGAGGGGTACATTGTATCACGAGAATTACATATATTAGATTTAATTTACCTGTTGTACGATATCCAGCATCGCATACAATCTATCCACAGACACTTCCGGTTTGCCAGTGTGCCACGGCAGCTCAGCAATCAGTAGGCGCAATGAGAACGGCACGAGGGTACCCGTTCGATTCTCGTAGGTATCCGGGTAGAACTGGAAATTTATATAGTATTCATATTTTATGTTTAAAACTAGTATATACTTACAATACCTGTAGATTTTATACAAAGTTAATTTTGGTAATCCTTATATATAAAAATTACGTGTCACGTTGTTTGTCCGTGATGGACTCCTAAACTACTGAAACGATTGCAAATTTGATTTGCACATTGTGTGCAATGTGATCCAACTTGAAAGATAGGATAGCTTACATCTCAATTTATAGTCGCAATATTATTTTATTGCAAATTATCTAAATATATATAACTAAGGTGACTGACGTAGTGATCTATCAACGCACAGCCCAAACAACTGGACGGATCGGGCTGAAATTTGGCATGCAGGTAGATGTTATGACAGGCATCCGCTAAAAAAGCATTTTGATTAATTCCTCCCCCAAGTGGTTAAAATAGGGGATGAAAATTTGTATAAAACTTTGTCCATTTTAAACCGATCGGGCTGAGACTTTGCATGCATAATGCTACTATGACGTAGGCATCCCCTAAGAAAGCATTATGATAAATTTCACCCCTAAGGGGATAAATTAACGCGAGCGTAGCCGCGGGTGAAAGCTAGTTTTTATATATAAGGAAACTGTTAGCCACAGCAACGCGTGGCCGGGTCTGCTAGTATAATAATAAATCTGGTCAATTGATCACAGCGCCATCTAGACCCAAGCTAAGCAGAGCTCGCATTATGTGTACTAGACAACTGATATAGAACCTTCAGCACATTTTTTGTAAATATATCCTTGGAATGTTGTATCTCCGAAATAACACATTTTTTACCATAATATATAGCCATATCATAAATATTTTTTTTTTACACAACTCCATCTAGTCCCAAGGCAAAAAGCTTGTTATGGGTTAACTGATATTTAAAGTTTTTTTTTTAAATACATATATAATATAAATAGAAAACACTCAGATCGATACAAATAATCATACTCATGAATACAATGTTTACACCGTGCGAGGAATCGAACCCGCGACCATCGGAAGTAAAACGGTATGCTAAACCGCTAGACCACCGAGGCCGATAAACAAAATAATATAAACCCATTTAATAATGAAATGAACTTCAAAATAACACCTAATTAAAATACATATAAAGTCTACTTTAGAATAAATACAATTAGTTACCTGATAAAACATGTCCGGTTTATTGAAATCACCAAACGGCTCGGCCTCCTTGAGCAGTGGCTCATTCAGCCGGATCCTGAGCATCACGGAGAATCTTGTGAGCCACAGCTGCAGTGAGCGGGGCGTATGCTTTGTGGGGCGATGCATACGGCCGACGCCTAATAAAACGCGTAATACAACAAAAATATTTATTAGAACTCATAAACAATATTTTAAAAAGTCGGTCAACGCATACCTCCTTAAGACAGGGGCGTTAGCGTTCCGGTAGTTCATCCTTACTAATCCTTACTTATATTAATATTATAAATGCGAAAGTAACTCTGTCTGTCTGTCTGTCTGTCTCGCTTTCACGCCAAAACTACTGAACCGATTTAAATGAAATTTAGTACGCAGATAGTCTAGACGCCGAGGAAGGACATAGGCTACTTTTTAATGCGTAAAAAGGGTTGTAAGGGGTTCAAAATGGAAATACAAGGTTATCTTTATGCGGTTGAATCCTTATTCGTCATCTTTTCATTTCACTATCTAACAACCAATCAACACATCGCGTGCGTTTGCGCTATTCGCCATCTTTTCATTTCACTAGCTAACAACCAATCAACTCATCGCGTGCGTTTGCGCCAATAAGGTATCCATCACAGAGAACAAAACCACAGATAACATAATGTAAAACGAAAGATCTTGCCGGAAACATGACGTTGACGTTTAGTGAAAATATTGTTTTTTGACACTTTTTTATGATAAAATCGTATATCGTGTGTATGTCTTTTTTCTTTAAACCTGAAATTGGCCGATTGTGAGAAAAATTTGGCGATTTTTTTATTAATTTGTTTTACGGCTCTGGATACAAGCCCAGTTTAGCCTAACTTAAAGTTTTACAATATAAATTACAAAAATTAAAGTCAATGTCCAATGTTAAATAATAATAAATGTCAAACGTTGTTTCCCTGTTCTGAACAACTTAAAAAAAAAACTTAATAACAATCACAATTTCTTCAAATTTTATTAGGTATTTACATTTTTTTAAAGAATGTTGTGGTGTGGCACTATCCGAAATTAAATTATTTACCCATTTTTGTAGGTTATACAGAAATAATGTGTGGGTGTTTATTTAAAAAGCATTAACACAAAATTAATAAAGTATAGGTATTAATAAATATATGGTTGTTGTATCAAAATAGAATTTTCTTATTTTTCACTAAAATAAAAACTAACTGTCTTTTTTATAAAATAAATGACCTTTTCATTGTGCCATATATTATGGAACTATTTAAATTATTTAGCTGATTGTAAGAAAGAAAATGTTGGTTTGTAGATTAATACTGTAAAATTACTATTTGTACGGAAACGATAAAAATATATTTTTGTGTTGCGACAAAAACTAATATTATAAATGCGAAAGTAACTCTGTCTGTCTGTCTCGCTTTCACGCCAAAACTACTGAACCGATTTGAATGAAATTTGGTATACAGATAGTCTAGACCCTGAGAACGGACATAGGCTACTTTTTAATGCGAAAAAAGGGTTGTAAGGGGTTAAAAGGGGGGATGAAAGATTGTATGGAAGAATCGTCATTTTTGAAGCTAGAAGCTTGAAACTTATTTTTGAGACTGTTGATTAAATATAAATAAAAATGACATTCAATGTTTGTAAAAAATTACCCTTAAGGGGGTAAAATAAAATAGGGGATGCAAGTTTTTATGTAGATTCGTCATTTTTGAAGCTAGAAGCTTAAACTTATTGTTGAGACTGTTGATTAAATATAAATACATATGACATTCATTGTTTGTAAAAAAATTACCCTTAAGGGGGTAAAATAAAATAGGGGATGCAAGTTTTTATGTAAACACGTCATTTTTGAAGCTAGAAGCTTGAATCTTATTGTTGAGACTGTTGATTAAATATCCTTACTAATATTATAAATGCGAAAGTAACTCTGTCTGTCTGTCTGTCTCGCTTTTACGCCAAAACTACTGAACCGATTTAAATGAAATTTAGTACGCAGATAGTCTAGACGCCGAGGAAGGACATAGGCTACTTTTTAATGCGTAAAAAGGGTTGTAAGGGGTTCAAAATGGAAATACAAGGTTATCTTTATGCGGTTGAATACTTATTCGTCATCTTTTCATTTCACTATCTAACAACCAATCAACACTTCGCGTGGTTTTGCGCCATTCGCCATCTTTTCATTTCACTAGCTAACAACCAATCAAAACATCGCGTGCGTATGCGCCAATAAGGTATCCATCACAGAGAACAAAACCACAGATAACATAATGTAAAACGAAAGATCTTGCCGGAAACATGACGTTGACGTTTAGCGAAAATATTGTTTTTTGACACTTTTTTATGATAAAATCGTATATCGTGTGTATGTGTTTTTTCTTTAAACTTGAAATTGGCCGATTGCGAGACAAATTTGGCCATTTTTTTTATTAATTTGTTTTACGGCTCTGGATACAAGTCCTGTTTAGCCCAACTTAAAGTTTTACAATATAAATTACAAAAATTAAAGTCAATGTCAAATGTCAAATAATAATAAATGTCAAATGTTGTTTCTCTGTTCCGACGAACTTATTAAAAAAAACTTAATAACAATCACAATTTCTTCACATTCTATTATTTACATTTTTTAAAGAATGTTGTGGTGTGGTACTGTACGAAATTAAATTATTTACCCATTTTTGTAGGTTATACAGAAATAATGTGTGGGTGTTTATTTAAAAAGCATTAACACAAAATTAATAAAGTATAGGTATTAATAAATATATGGTTGTTGTATCAAAATAGAATTTTCTTATTTTTCACTAAAATAAAAACTAACTGTCTTTTTTATAAAATAAATGACCTTTTCATTGTGTCATATATTATGAAACTATTTAAATTATTTAGCTGATTGTAAGAAACAAAATGTTGGTTTGTAGATTAATACTGTAAAATTACTATTTGTACGGAAACGATAAAAATATATTTTTGTGCTGCGACAAAAACTAATATTATAAATGCGAAAGTAACTCTGTCTGTCTGTCTCGCTTTCACGCCAAAACTACTGAACCGATTTGAATGAAATTTGGTATACAGATAGTCTAGACCCTGAGAACGGACATAGGCTACTTTTTAATGCGAAAAAGAAGCTTGAAACTTATTTTTGAGACTGTTGATTAAATATAAATAAAAATGACATTCAATGTTTGTAAAAAATTACCCTTAAGGGGGTAAAATAAAATAGGGGATGCAAGTTTTTATGTAAACACGTCATTTTTGAAGCTAGAAGCTTGAAACTGATTATTGAGACTGTTGATTAAATATAAATAAAAATGACATTCAATGTTTGTAAAAAATTACCCTTAAGGGGGTAAAATAAAATAAGGGATGCAAATTTTTATGTAAAATCGTCATTTTTTAAGCTAGAGGCTTGAAACTTATTTTTGAGGCTGTTGATTAAATATAAATAAATATGACATTCATTGTTTGTAAAAAAATTACCCTTAAGGGGGCAAAATAAAATAGGGGATGATAGTTATTATGTAAATTCGTAATTTTTGAAACTAGAACGATGAAACTATTTTCATTGGTTCTTTTGGGGTAGATTTTTAAATACCCCATTAATGTTATAACTGTGAAAGTAAGTCTGATTGTCTTTCTGTCAGTCTTACGCTCCAAAACAAAACAAAAATTTAAATGAAATTTAAAAAATTTAAACACAGTTAGTTTACACCCGGACAAAGAATATAGGGTACTTTTGAATGTGAAAAAAGGATTGTAAGGGGGTTGCAATGGTACGCTGTATGGAAGAATCGTCATTTTTTAAAACTAGAAGTTTGAGACTCATTTTTAGACATTCAATGTTTGTAAAATTTTTACTCTTAGGGGGAGGGGGGGTAGTAAAATAAAATAGGGAATGAAAGTTATTGTGGAAATTTGCTGTTTGTGTGGTTGTGGAAGCTAGAACGATTAAACTTTTTTCTTTGTCTTTTTAGAGTTAGTTTATTAAATACCCTACTGATATTATACATGTGAAAGTAACTTCGTCTGTCTGTTTGTCTCGCTTACACGCCAAAAATATTGAACAGATTTAAATTGAAATTTGAAACAGACATAGATAGACTAGATCCTGAGAAAGGACATAGGTTACTTTTTAATGTGAAAAAGGGTTGCAAGAGGATTGAAAGGGTAGATCCAAGGTCATATAGATGTATCGTCATGTTTAAAGCTAGAAGCTTGAAATTTATTTTTAGCCTATTGATTAAATATTTATTTTTATTATTTATCATTTTTTAAGCTAAAATGATGAAACTTATTTATTTGACTTATATTGTGTTAATTGAGTTAAATATTTTTTCATTATTTACGCGGACGAAGTCGCGGGTACAGCTAGTAACAATATATATATATATTTTATAGCACAGGAGACAAACGAGCTTACGGCTCACCTGATGGTAAATAATTACCGCCGCCCATGAGCACCCGCAACACCAGGGTAATTGCAAGTACGTTGTCGGCCTTTTAAAAAGGAATAATCTCTTTTCTTGAAGGTTTCAATATCGTATCGGTTCGGAACAGACGTATATACAGAGTCAGTCAGAAAGGGAAATAATGAAAAATGAACAGGACCTGTTTTGTGAAGGTTTTTTTTCTGTACAACTTTTATTTAAAACAATTTTTCATATTCCTTACCGTTATCGAGTTATTTTAAAAAAAGGCGTTTTTCAACTTTTTTTAACTTTTTCTTCCCTTTCCCGTTAACTTAAATCAAAATTTCTTTCTGATATTATTATTAACGTATTGCAGACTTCTTTTTATATATTGCGCCAAAACTGGTCACATCATGTTTAATTTAAAATTTTACTGGACTATATGGTAATAATAATAATCTTAGGACAATTCACACAGCGCCATCTAGGCCCAAGTTAAACTAGCTAAAGCTCGTGTTATGGGTACTAGATAACTGATATATTTACATTGATTTTTTTTTAAATACATACATATATACATAGTTAATCCCAAGCTAAGCAAAGCCTGTGTTATTGGTACTGGACAACTGTTGGACCCCTTAGATACATTATTTTGTAAATACATACATATATACATAGAAAACACCCAGACCGATACAAACAATCATACATGAATACAAATGTTTGTGCCGTGAAGCATCGAACCCGCGACCATCGGTCGTAAAGCGGTGTGCTAGACCGCTAGACCACCGAGGTCAACAAGTTATGTTCTACAACTTTCCCTGACGCCAATTAGTTTCTTCGGTTCAAAATTGGTACACAAAATACAATAATAACAAAACATGCAGCCCTAATACCTAGCTAGCTGACATCAGCTCTACAGTAGTAGGTAAAGATGCAACGTCATTGATATTTTAATAATGTAAAAACTGCATGTTGTAGGAGGGGACTACGAGGGGATCGGCCCCCTGTCCCATTCTAACGATCGATATTACCCCGGGATTAGAGTGCCATCTGCACTTGCCCTCGTTTTTGTAGTGAAGCTGTAAAGGCCAGCTGCCAACATTAGAATAGACCGAAAAACAAATGCAGTTACACAAATATTAGTCGATCTATACTCTATACATATAAACATATAAATAAAATTGGAATGTCTGTTTGTAATATTGAAATAACCGTTTTTACTACATGCATATGAATATGAATACGGTACATATACCAAAATAACATTTTTTACAATTTTTGCCTGTCTGTCGGTCTGTTTGTTCTGGCTAATATCTGAAATGGCTTGACCGATTTTGACGGCACTTTTTTTAATAATAATAATAATTTATTTGCTCAAAAAACACAGTATAAACGATTTGCCAGGTAGCTGGTGTAATGAGGAGTAACTTAGGCTACTTTTATTCTAGAAAAATAAAGTTAAATTCCACGCGGACGAAGACGCGAGTACAGCTAGTCTTTATATATAAACTTACGTGTCACGTCGTTTGTCCGCAATGGACTCCCTAAACTACTGAAATGATTGCAAATTTGATTTGCACATTGTGTGCAATTTGATCCAACTTGAAAGATAGGATAGCTTACATCTCAATTTATAGTCGCAATATTATTTTATTCAAGAACCTTAGCTACAACAACGCGTGGCCGTTAGTTAGTAAATAATTAACTATTCTATTCGCAATCAAAATATAAATTAATAGTGAATAAGTTGTACTAATAAATATAAAGAATACACTTACGGTGTTCATATTAAAAATGTTTTAAATAAACAATACTAAACTGCCATATATTATCCAATTCTATAACACGAACAATTAAATAACGTCTTTATAAATATATAAAAAAAAATTGACACTATCGAATTCACACAAAAATTAAAAATGTTTAAAAAAACACTTCGCAAGCTTCTTTACTAGTACACTACGAGAAATATTTAATAATGCACGAACAATTAAATAGTTTTTATAAATACATCTATAAAAAATGACACACTATTCAATTCACACAAAATTTTAAAAATGTAACGTTGAACAACACTTATTTCAAAGAGCAACACGCAAGTTTCTTGCTCATTCTTCTTGTGATGAGCCTGCGTTCCGAATGAGTTGGAGAATAAAAAAAATATGACTATTCAAAAGTGTCTATATTAAGTTTATTTTAATAAAGATTATATCTATTTGAAACTTCATTATTACTGTCAAAATATCACAATCAAAGTAGGAAGTAAAGCGGTGTGAGTGCGCTATACCAACGAGGCCGATGTTTATATGTAGACTACCCTCATATTTATTAATATTTATAAATTTCAATAGTTTCCTAATAGATGTCACTATGTTGTCCTAAAAGTCGATATATTTGTGTTGTGCACACAGTATAAAGTATCCAGTGGATTTCTCCTTGTATAAAATGGTTACACTGTATAAAAAATATATTTCTCTTGAAAGGGCTGCAGTTAGTCGACTAGCTGCGGCCTCAATAACACTATTATTATTAGAAATAGAAATAGAAATAGAAATAGAAATAATCTTTATTCAAATACATTACAAGCACTTTTGAATAGTCATATTTTGATTCTACCACTCATTCGGAATGCAGATTCATCACAAGAAGAATGAGCAAGAAACTTGTGTGTTGCTCTTTTTAATAGATGTATTTTTTATATATTTTTTTTTATATTATTACTTGTTACTATAAATTATTCATTTAATTGGTAGGTTTTATAACTTTTTTTTTTTAAGTTTTTTCTTAAAACCTACAGTCGACAGAAACAAAAGACAAAACGTTTTAGAGTACAGTCGACTTTTTATTATTTTTGTTTCGTGTTATTCACTTTAATGATGCATTTAAAAGTGCCTACTAAATATATCTATAATCTATACATATAAATAAAATTGGAGTGTCTGTTTGTAATATTGAAATAACCGTTTTTACTACATGCATATGAATATAAATACGGTTCATACACCAAAATAACATTTCTTACAATTTTTGTCTGTCTGCTTTTTAGTAAATGCGTATGAAAGTAGGTATATATAAAAATAGCAAGAACAAACTGTCTGTTTGTTCTTGCTATTTTTTGAAACGGCTGGATCGATTTGTATAGGAGACTCTGCTTTTTACTAAATGCGTATGAAAGTAGGTATATACAATAATTATATAAAAAAAATTGTCTGTCTGTTTGTTCTTGATAATCTTTGAAACGGCTGGATTAATTTTGACTGGATTTTCACTCGCAGATAGTTCATGTTATAACTAGAAATTTTCACCCTTCATCAAGCCTTAATTTTTAATAGCGATAACTTAATATTTTATATTTGGATGAATAGCGGTGAGAAGAGATCTCTCTCTCGTAAAATATGTAGTTAGTGTACTACGAGGGTGGGTGCATCACCCAGAAATATTAGAGCAAATTCAGCTATGGGTACCCAATGGTTACTTGGGCGCGCGCCGTCATCCCGTTTCATTCAGTATTCCGGTAGCCAGGATCAATTCACAAAAATATTCACCTGTAAGCCGTGCTTTAGAGATACTAAACAATATCAGAAATGATATTGATATTTTTGATTGTAGTCTGCCGAAAATCACAGAAGCCATTCAAAAGTATCTAGAATTTTTATAATGTTTATATTATGTAATAAAATATGTTATGTTGTAAATTCATATATATATATGTATACTGTACTAAGTTGCAACACCGATTTGGATATACTGTAATGGTGTTGTAATATTGAAATGAATAAATAAAATAAAAAATTTACTACTTTGGACGGTCGTAAAAATAATTGTCTTAAAAAACAATAAACTTAAATTAAAAAGAAAAAGTTTAAAGGGATTAACACGCCTTTGTCTCCTTGGTTTGTTTGGGCTATTGTCAGGTGCTTGCACCTGTAGCGCTGCGACGTACGTAGATCTATTGTGCTCGCCTTTTTCAAAGTTCGCTACTTAGACCCGTCAGGTACAAGAATTGAAGGATGTTCTTAGGAGCGATGGTTTTTATCTCCTCAGTATAAAGTGTAAACTTTCCAAAGGAGATATTACGTTTATGCATGAGTGGGTACACAGGATGTGTACATGAAAAACCTTTGTCCTTTGTCGGGGACTATTTTTGTACCAAATTTCATTTATTTATTATTTATTTCATTTAGACTACTAATGGCCCATATTATAAATACCTTACAGTCTAACATACATATATATATATACATATATATATGAATGATATTAAAATTAATCTATACATATAAATAAAATAGGAATGTCTGTTTGTAATATTGAAATAACCGTTTCTTACTACATGCATATGAATATAAATATGGTCCAAATACCAAAATAACATTTTTTACAATTTTTTTCTGTTTGTCTGTCTTTCTCTTTGTTGCGGCTAATCTCTGAAATGGCTGGACCGATTTGGACGGGACCTTTTTTGGCAGGTAGCTGATGTAATAAGGAGTAACATAAACTAGTTTTATTTTAGAAAAATAAAGGTAAATTCCACGCGGACGAAGTCGCGGGTACAACTAGTATAAAATGTATTTCAATCGGTTCAATAGTTTTGGCGTGAAAGACAGACAGACAGAACTTGTATACTTTATTACTTTTAGAATATTAATACGGATGAAAAAAAATTACCTTGTCCGATAGCGGTGATCAGTACAGCGGTGTGGTTGATAGCGGCGCGCAAGTACCCAGTTCTGAGGAGCTCCCTGAGGCCGGCCTCGTCTCGGCTCACGTGTTCTGCTCGGACTACGCCCCGGCTGCCCGCAGCACTCACTCCTAGGTACTTCACTGCCACCTCGTGCAATGCATCTGCCTAGTTGTGAATGTAATATAATGTAAAGCAACGCAATGCAATGTAAAATGGACTCTATTCTCCACACTTAGACTCTCATTTGGCCCGTTCAGCATTGCGTTCGGATTGTTAGTATTGGGAACTAGTAATTCCCATTGCTAGCAATGTACCATGTCAGGTCGACCTCCACGCGGTTCTCCCTGGAAACCATCGTGATAAATTCCAGGTGAATTTATCACGATGGGCTAACTGACCTGACCTCATGCTCATCTTATCATCCGCCACTGGTACCCCGCCAGCGTAAATCGTTAGCGCAGGCGGGTGCACCATGTTATTATCATACGGAAAAAAAACTACCTCGTGCAAGCATCTGCCTAGTTGTGAATGTAATGCAACGCAATGCAATGTAATATGGACTCTATTCTCCACACTTAGCATCTCATTTGGCCCATTCAGCATGTAGAGCTGTCAATTATCTTGGCACTTTCTGTTATAGCATCAATTCCACCTTTTATACCATCCTAGCATTTGCCGGCGGCTTCGCTCGCGTTAATTTATCCCCTTAGGGGTGGAATTTATCAAAATCCTTTCTTAGCGGATGCCTACGTCATAACATCTACCTGCATGCCAAATTTCAGCCGATCCGTCCAGTGGTTTGGGCTGTGCGTTGATAGATCGCTACGTCAGTCACCTTTGAGTTATATATATTTAGATTTTATTGGTCAATAAAGCAGAGACTACTAAAGTAGTCAGTCTCGTCTCAGAAACGCAGCCTCCTGGTGGCACTTTCTGTATATTAATACGTGAAGTAAAACCTTTGAATCCATTTTTACCATAATTGTGCGCGCGGAGGAGTGTGATAGTCGCCCAATTATATTAATATGACCTTGACCATATAATGAAAAATATTTAATAATCTAACCCAATAAAAAAACAAATAAAAAAGTTTCAGGTTTCTAGCTTTAAAAGTGACGATACTTCCATACAACCTCTCATCTCTTTCAACCCCTTACAACCCTTTTTCCTTATATATATTTAATCACCAACCTACGCCCCGACTGGCGGCAGCGCTCACTCCTAGGTACTTCACTACCTCGTGCAATGCATCTGCCTAGTTTTAATATAGTTCAAAATCCAAATATCTTTATTCATTTAAGTCTATTACAGATATGATATGATATGTCAAATTTAACGTCAGTTCGGAATGACTTCGAGATGAGAACTGACAAGAAATTCAACGAGTATTCTTTTCAAATAAATATTATCTTATATATAAAATTCTCGTGTCACAGTTTTCGTTCCCATACTCCTCCGAAACGGCTTGACCGATTCTCATGAAATTTTGTGAGCGTATTGAATAAGTCTGAGAATCGACCAACATCTATTTTTCATCCCCCTAAATGTTAGGGGTAGTCCACCCCTAATTCTTTTTTTATTTTAAGGCAAAACAACGTTTTCCGTGACAGCTAGTATATATATACAATAATACAGATTCATTTTTAAATTCAAAGAGAGAATAGAGTTACCACCAGCTATGAGGATAATAATGGATATAAATATGATAAGGATTACTCGTTATACTGTAATTATTATATAAAATAAAAACATCTATTCAAAAGAGTAACACACAAGTTTCTTGCTCATTCTCCTTGTGATGAATCTGCATTCCGAATGAGTGGTAGAATCAAAATATGACTATTCAAAAGTGCTTGTAATGAGTTTATTTGAATAAAGATTATTTCTATTTCTATTTCAATGGATTTTTTAGACTACTCTAATGCTATTGGCCGGTAGGAAAGGGGATTGTTGGTAATGTGGATTGATAACTGCATTGCTAGCAATGTACCATGTCAGGTTGATCTGCACGCGGTTCCCCGTGGAAACTATCATGATTCTTGGTGGATTTGTCACGATGGGCTAACTGACCTGACCTTCATATTCATCTTATCATCCTCCACTGGTGCCCCGCCAGCGTAAACCGTTAGCACATGCGGGTGCAACATTTCATTATAATCCCCAAAAAAATAGATCTCGTGGTTGCCCCTGGAAACTATCATGATAAATTCCTGGTGAATTTGTCACGATGGGCTAACCGACCTGATCTCGTCACCTTAACATCGTCGTTTGGTGCCCCGCCAGCGTATACCGTTAGCGTAGGTGGGTGAGACATTCCATTATCATCCATAAAAAATTTGCCTAGTTTTATTGTATAGATTTATTGGAGAACTCTAATGCTGGTGGGGGAAAGAGGATTGTTACTAATGTGGAATAAAACCCCAGAGCTATATTTTTTTTATTGGGTTGTTTGGGCTTTTGTCAGATGTTTGTAGCACCTGTAGCACTGCGACCTATATATATCTATTGTGCTCGCCCTTTTACAAAGTTCGCTACCTAGACCCGTCAGGGACAAGAATAAAGGATATTCTTAGGAGCGATGGTTTTTATCTCCTCGGGAAAGAGTGTAAACTTTCCAAAGGAGATATTTCGTTTATGCATGAGTGGGCTACAACCACATAGGATGTGAAGCGGCGTTTCCACTTCAACCCCATAGCTAGCAATGTATGGTAAAATCAGATTGACCTCCATGCGGTTTCAGTGGAAATCATCAGGATAAATTCCCGATTGACCTGACCTCATGCTCATCCTAACATCATCCACAAAATTCCAAGAACTATTTAAATGAAGCATCTTATCATGATTCTATAAATAATTAATTTTACTTACAAGTTCCTCTTCAAGCACTAACCCTGGCATTGTTAGAACCTCTCTTTCAGGAAAGAATGAGCCTTTAGGTGAAGACTGGGCCTGGAAGAAAATATTGCAAGTTGGTTGGTGGCTACATTAGGTGAAACAGAGATGGCCATTGAGACAACTGTAGTAAGATAATTATCAGATAAGTAAGTAAAGAGAGTAGGAAGTAAGAAAAAGTGAATGTATTTTATCATTTACAAGCTATACCCGTGACTTCATCCGCATGGAATTTAACTTTATTTTTCTAAAATAAAAGTAGTCTAAGTTACTCCTTATTACATCAGCTACCTGTCAAAATCGGTCCAGCCATTTCAGAGATTAGCCAGAACAAACAGACAACCAGACAAAAATTGTAAAATATGTTATTTTGGTGTATGTATCATATTTATATTCATATGCATATAGTAAAAAACAATTATTTCGATATTACAGACACTCCACATTTATTTATATGTATAGATAAAGTACAGTTATTACACCAATCCTTGCTCGGATGGATTACAAACCTTTGAATTTCTCTGCCTGTTCTATACTATAACATGCATATATTATACATATAAACCTTGCTCTTCAATTATTTAATTATTGACCTATCTATAGCTGAAAACGGCATTAAAATCTGTTGCATAATTTAAAAGATATAAGAGAACAGACAACTACGGAGACTGTTTTATACTATGTAAAGATGTCAAATAGAGTATATCACATTTTCACATTTAGCTCTGTATTTGGAGCATTGCGCATTGCAAGAGCTGACTCTTCCCAGAAGTATTTATTATAAATTGATCCTATAAACAATATATTGTAGTAACTTGATAGTGTATTAACCCCCTAAGACTGTATATGAATTTCCCAAACCTTCATCAGTGTCTTCTTGGCCTCATCATTAGGAATCCATGCATCCCTTCGTCTATCTGCTTCTTTATCAACTGGTTGGTTCTAGAACAAAAATTGAAAAAAAGTTACCCTTTATATGCTCTTAATTTTTATGCCTTTGTCTCATTCTGTACACTTTTAAAAAATTATTGTAGTAAATTCCAAAGAGGCTAAATCTGTATTCTGCTACCCTAGAATTACACTGGTATATCACTAACCAGTGTATACCATTAACACAGGCAGTTGCATCAGTCAATAGTTGTACATAAAAAAAAATGACAATTTAAAATTGGAACACAAAAAAATACCTTTATACTCAGAGCCTCCATGGCATCTGTAAGGAGAGCTGTACTCGTCATGTTATTTTTAGTAGGTCCTATTTGTGGTTCTGGACCTATTGTATCAAAGAACGTTGATGGATCAGGCAGGCTCGTTGCTGGCACGGAAGCAGATCCGCTGACAGTTGCCAAAACACTCGAAAAAGTAACATCTTGCGTATTTTGTTGGTTGAAAGAGGTCGTCATTGGTTGAGGAAAGACTTGGTTTGATGTTACCATGTCACCTATAGATTACAGTGATTAAATATAGTAATTATTTAGATTTAAACATAAGTAAACAATAACAAAAAAAATATTGATCCAAAACATTACCATCGCTTCCTCCTAAATAAACGCTTTGTATCATGTCCGACGGTGACGTACCAATTTCATCGAAAAACTGAGACGCGGGCACCACTTGCATATCGCCAAAATAATGGCTCAATGACGGCTTATTATCCATATTCTTATATTCTCAGTGATTATTTATTTATTTATGTGTTGTGACGCGATTACCTCATCGTAACTTGAATTGACAACTGAATGAATAAAATGATGATTGGCATTAATATCATTCGCGAATATATTTCTTATCTGTGGCTTCAGTAATCTATGGCCAGTGATGCCCGATTGTTTCCCCCAAATTATGTGTGGATGTGGTAAAGAAATCGGAATGATGTAGGAAAAATAATAAAAAATTACACAGATTTTCCTCAGCATGTAAATGCAGATCTAAAAAACACAAAGAAAAAGTTGTCTTATAGAAGTTATCTTAAACTCATCAAAGTAAAAAAAAACATAGAACCACATTACTAAAATGGGAAATGACTTGTTTTATTACGTAGAAATTTTCATTAAAACCAACCAAAAAGTTATCTTTAGTTTTTGTTTAAAGTTTAATTGTTTATTATGTTATATTTTAAAATATTTTTTAAAACTGTTATTTCACATTTAGACTCACTTAACATTTCTTATACACGTTGTATTGGGTTGACTATAAAAGATCATTTTTAGGGATAAGTCGTCCTTTATTAACATATGGATAGAGAAGTGCAATAAGGAATATAATTGTAGTACAGTAGTTATTCTCATCACTGTAGCGTTATGTATGTTGTGATGAGGTGGCGCTACATAGTATATTATTTAATGTAGTATGTAGGTAGTGAGAATACCGGTAAAATGATTGTACTATTTATTAGACATTATTAAGTTTATTGGTAGTGTGCTACATGGCCTATTAATATCTATAATAGACTGATTTTATACTTAACTTAAATCTATGTCAGTGGAGACGTAAACTAATGGAAGGGTATCAAGGGTAAACAAAAATATTACAAGTGTAGGCACACAATAATTTATGGGAGAAACGCAGGTTGAGACCTGGTAATACTATCTATGGTTGCCATTATCATTCATTCATCTCTTAATCTACTGTCAATTTTTCCTATCAATCAGTACAATAACAAGACCTACGGGTTTATAGATTTTAATAAAACTCTTATCAGCAATTTCCAATAGCGGTTAAAGCATATTTTAACAGGTGTGCTCAATTCATTATCTCATCGATTCCGCAATCTGCATGTCCACTTACATTAAATATTCATGCCTCAAGTTAATCATCCATTTTTGTATATTTGGTCGAATGTTAGTTTAGTATTCTTTCGCCTTATTTAGTGATGGTTAATAATTAAAAAGTAATAAATAATTGGTTACTTGTTGTTTAGGCACAAATGACGAACCTGGCGTCTCCTGTTGAGGAGCAGGAGAAGCTTCTGGAAGAAGCTTTGAATGTGGTTAAAGTGCAGGTAACTAACTTTAATTAATTAATTTATGACTTATAAATTTTACTCATTTTTAATAATATTTAGAACTAAAAATAATATATATCAAATGTTATGACTTAAAAATAATTACTCTAGAATACATATCATAGATATTCTAATAAAGGTTTTTTATTACTGTTAATATATTCAAACTGGTTTGGGGTGGATCATACTCATGAATACAAATATTTGTATTCATGAGTATGATTATTGGTATTGGTCAGGCTGTTGTCTAGTTATAACACAAGCACTGCTTAGCTTGGGATTAGATGGCGCTGTGTGAATTGTCTAGGGTTATTATTAATATTTTCATTTGTTCCAGGCATTTCAAATGAAGAGATGTCTGGACAAATCCAAGTTAATGGATGCTCTCAAGCATGCATCTACCATGCTAGGAGAGTTAAGAACATCACTACTCTCTCCTAAAAGTTACTATGAGCTCTGTATCCTTTTTAACAACACAAACATTGGCAAACGAGTATACAGCCCATTTGATGGTAAATGGTTACCTTAACATATGAACGCGTGAACTACCAGGAAGTAAATTTTTTGCAGACTTAAGAAGCATTGAAAAACTTCAAGCTGTAAATTCTCGAGAAAACCTTGGTATGAGATATAAGTAGAAATAATCTTGATTCAAATAAACTTAATATAAGCACTTTTGATACTACCACATGTATTTAATTCCATAATGTAAGTGTACACAGAAGCGTGACTCCTCCGAAACCTCACTGTTCAAGATCACTTAGGTTTCAGAATGTGGGGATTAATGCCTTGTCTATGGCAAGTGGTGTGATGTTTGTAATTTTAAAAATTAAATCAAAATAGATTCAGTAGTTTAGGATCCCATCCTTGTCAAACAAAAACAAAAATATATTATAAACATGTAAGTTTGTGAAACTTTACAGTAATATAGCTTATATATCAGAAAAACATATAGGCTATAATTTAAAAAGATATTATATAAATTGGGCGAAATATGATAAATGTCAAGGAAGCAGACAAAGTTGTACGGGTAACCTAGTATTAAGAAAAAGACCCTAACTCCAAATATCAGACATGGCAATAACAGACGAGCTCCGTCACCTCGAGTTGTATCTTCTAGAAGAATTCCAGAAGGGCCGTAAAGTCGCTGACTTGTATGAGTTGGTGCAGTACGCTGGTAATATTGTACCTAGGCTGTACCTGTTGATTACCGTCGGATTGGTCTACATTAAGACCAGTACTAACCTTAGAAGAGATCTGTTGAAGGTAAGAGGAATTCAAATATTAAGACCGCCTCGGTGGTCTAGCAGTAGCACACCGCTTTACTCCCGAATGTTGCGGGTTTGACCCTCGAATGCCCCAAACATTTGTATTAAAGAGTATGATTGTTTGTATCGGTCTGGATGTTTTCTATGTATGTTATGTATGCATTTACAAAAAAAAAAGTATTTGTATTTGTATCAGTTGTCTGATATCCATAACACAAGCTCTGCTTAGCCTGAGACTAGATTAACCATGAATTGACCTGAAATATTATTATTATTATTATTATAAGTAATATTCCAATTTGCAAGTATTCAAATGGGTATCGAAATCATAGCACTCCGTCCAATATTGGAACCCCGTAAAGTCGTATCAATCAGGCAGGAATTGGCCTTCAGGCGCACTATGAGTTCTTCCGCGGGTATTGAGTGCTATCAGTACTCGCCCCCTACTGTTTGGCGAAGTTGTAAAGACCAACTGCGGCCAACAGCATTAGAATAGTTCAAAAAAAAGCTTACTCTTGTTTACAATTTCTTCATTAATAATAATAAAGATTTAAGATTTAATTAAAAATTCATAATGATTTGCAATTAAATGTAGTCCATTCAATTATATTTGAAATCAGACTATTTTAAGCTAAATCTCAAAGGTATTTCAGTTATTGACTTGGTAAATGGAATATAGGATTTGGTGGAGATGTGCCGTGGAGTGCAGCATCCGCTGCGTGGTCTATTCCTACGGAATTATCTGCTTCAGTGCACGAGGAACATCCTACCTGATATAGCCGAAGCTCAAAACGAGAGCGAAGGCACTGTAAGTATATTTAAATTATTTATTCATGTAGGAAATTTATTTATTGTTAATTTTGCAATTCAAGTTTTTTGTATTAATATTTTTTTCGCTACTATTCAGTTCAGTCCATAGATTCAATTAAGAAGACTTAGCAAGAAAATCTACTGTTTTCTATAGGTAGCTGATACCTACAACTTCGTCCCCGTGGAATTAAACTTTTTTTTTATTAAAATAAATATTATTTCTAAAATAAAATTCTAAGTTACGCCATGACATATGACAGTAGCTATCTACGAGTGAAAGTCCCGTCAAAATCGGTCTAGCTGTTTCAAAGATTACCAAGAACAAACAGACAGACATCTAAGTACTGTATATACTTTCATATGGCACTTTTATTTATATGTATAGATTATTGGTTAAGAGATATGATATGATCCTCTGGAACAGAGTAGTACCAAGAATGTCAGATGTTAACTTGATGTCCATTTGTTTTTTATATTACAATGGTGGCAAACAAGCATACGGCCTATCTGATAGTAAATGGTTACCGTAGCCTGAGACACCAGCGTGTCTCGTGCGCGTTGCCGACCCGTAATAGTGCATATAGCTGACAGTTATTATTTACCATCAGGTGGCCCGTCCGCTTTTCTAGTTACCTAAAAAAAACTTATTTATTATCCCTATTATAGGTCCGTGATGCAATCGACTTCGTCCTAATGAATTTCGCTGAAATGAACAAACTTTGGGTGAGAATGCAACATCAAGGACACTCAAGGTAAGTTGATATTTAAACCTTCAAGAATAGAGCTTATTTTACCGTGTCCAATTGTTTTAAAACATGCAGGACCTTACTTGTATTGTCTTCCCTCAATTATCGTCTCTCACACACTGCTGTTCTCACTCATCGTTCACAACTTAATGGCAGCATGACGCCAGCAGTGTGCGACAGAGGCGACGTAATACATCCTTCTCTTTCCCACATATAGTAAACCATTGAATTATGAACACATTTCTTTTTTAAAATGCGAGGTGACTAACACACGTACAGAATAATACTGTATATTCAGATTATCTATTGTTTATTATTAAAGTCAATCAGAATTAATTATTGTTGATTTCAAATTGGTAGGCGCTCTTAGGTGCCGTGTTTTTTTAATGGGTAAGAATCCCACACAACCTCTCGTCGGCTCTCTGACAGGGGATGGTCTTTTGATATATTCACACGATAAAATTAGACGGCCTCGGTAGTCTACGGTCGTTTTTTTCGATGGGTTTGATTCCTTGCACGACACAAACATTTGTATTCATGAATATGATTGTTTGTATCGGTCTGGGTGTTTTCTATGTATAATATGTATGTATTTACGAAAAAAACTATCTATTTAATTGTATTAGTTATCTATTACCACACAACACACAATACACAAGCTTTGCTTACCATGGGACTAGATAGCGCTGTGTTAATTATCCAGGGCTCTTTATTTATGTATAAAAGAAGTTAAACAGACCTGATGACGTTTCCCAGGGATAAAGAGCGCCGGGAACGCGAACGTTCCGAGCTGCGTATCCTGGTTGGCACGAACCTGGTGCGCCTCTCCCAGCTGGAGTCGGTCACAGTGGATGATTACCGTCGGCTGGTGCTGCCGGGCATCCTGGAGCAGGTG